AAGTTCCGTCATGCCAGAATCTGTCTGTAGCAGATTGTTCATTGGCATCCATTTTTTAAAAAATTTAAAATAAACAATGTGTGGTTTAATGCATCAGGTAGAATGTGGGCACAGCTCCTCCCTTTTTATCTTAGAAGCTGTGTTTTTAAGGACATTATGTTCTAAAATCCTTATCCTGGAGGATCACAAGGAATATCTGTCTTTTGATCATTTTCCCAATATGTATAAAATAACTGAAATGACTCATCGTAATATCCATATATATTGTCTGCCTTTATAATTTCTGGAAGTCTCATGTAAGCAAAAACATCTTAAAAACAGTGACTTATAACATCAAGAAATCTGAATACATGTCAATCGCCACGTGTATGTATTTATAACTTGTCAAACTCTCTAATGAGTAACATCCATTTGTCATAGATGTTTAGGGAGTTGACCTCGAGGATTTATGCCTAAATTAGCCATAGCCATGTTGTGGACATATTCCACATTGTTTGATGATTTGCTATTATGATGAAGAAAGTTACAAGACTTTCGAGCTTTTTTTTTACTTAAGGCAAATCAACCAATTTTGTTAATCAGTTAATTTATTCCATTTGGCTAGTAATCAGGGCAAGGCCTATTTAATAGGTTTTCAGTGTGACCCATAAACATGATAATTCTCTTAGGTGAATAACATTTTGAATTTGTTCAAATAACATTCTTACTTGACTGTTACTAGACCCTGTGCATGGGACTGTCTCTATTACCTTATAAGACTTAAAGACATAGTGACTGTCAGTATACAAATTAAATGAATTATTTACCAGGATCTGAAAGACCATTGTAACAGCTTGCAATTTGATTATTTGAGCTGAAGCCAGAGCTGTCTGCTCCATCTATTCCTTTCTATTAATAACCTATGTAAGTGACTCTCCCATTAGAACCATTGGTAAAAACTAACATAGCATATTTTTACAGGACTGTTTTTTGCAATTTTGGAAATACAAAAGGATGTATTAGTGTAAATTGTAACTGTCCATGAGCTAGAATCTGATTATCGATTCTTTCTGAAAACTGAGCAAAGGCAATTGTCCATGACTCATTGTTCTGAAATAACCAATGAAACTGCTGCTTAGCATAGGGGACATGTATCATACTTGGTTTTCTCCTAAAATACTTTCTAGAATCTATATGGCATTTCTCTACCATGTAGGCTAATGCTTTAAAATAAGGGTTTGATATTTAGGCTGGTGAGACAGGTAGGTGCAACCATAGTAATGGTTCCTTCTGCCATAGAACAGAAGTCCGACTATGCTTTGTGGGGAGCACATAAGCTTCCCATGATTTTGCATAGTCAATATATCTGATGATGCTGCATTGCCACCTCTAATAATAGAACTTGTCTACCTTCTTATTTAGGCGTCTGGATATATTGGGATCACTACCTCCATATGGAAACTTATTTAAAGGATTTAAATCATCATTAGATGCTACCCCAAAAAGGTATTCAACCATTGAATATTTTTTAACAACTTTTAACAAAAATTGTGAATTATCCTTTCTAATAGTTATCTATTAAGTCTTAATTCCTTTAGAATACAACTTATATCCCAAACAATTTTTGTGATTTATTTAAAGTTTCTGAGTAGCCTTTTCTAATCTAACCTTCAACGCTGACAGGCTGATAAGACCTCATTTGCATCTTAGCTGATCTGGTCTAATTTGTATTACAAAGACACATTCAAGCTGTGAATCTAACAGGTTGGCTTTCTCCTCAGGCTTCTTTTTACAAACCTTTTTAAAAATCATATATCAACTTTTACTTTCTAAAGTTTCCTTTTTTAACCATAAAAATTTAGGAAGATCTGTATCCTCTCCTCTGCCAAATATTTTTGACTATATTAAAGTAGTTTTGATAATATTTTAAAAAATATATTCGAGGCAATGTAAATATCTCTGTAATCTTATCCAAGGCAATTTAGGCATTTCCATTCATCCGCATTCATAAATTCACAATCATGTCACGCATCCAGGTGTGGCCAAACCATTCATTCATATCTCGCATACATCTCGAATTTCTCCTTTTGTGTAGGTTATGATCAGTTTGTAGAAAAGAAAAATCCCTAATTGAAATTTCTCCTAACACAGTAGCTATAGTCAATCCTTGAAATATGAGCATCCAAAATTTGAACAGATCTAAGCTTACATACGTTGATATGTTGCCCTTTCTTCTCTATAAATCTCAAAACAGTTTCTGTCTGGCTTTATCAATAGCATTATATACATTTGACTAGGCATCAGCCATGAAGGCAGTTCCCAAAGCTATAAGTTACCTCAAGGAGCCTCAGGATGTCTGCCACCCTTTCAGCCATTTTGTCCAGCCTGCCGCAGACGCCGACACAAGGTGGCATCGAGCCAGTGGATGAGGGCCGGAAGACTGAAGCTGCTGCCAAGATTGACCTTGGCCTTAGCTCGACCTTTGCCCTCTGAGCTGCTGGAAAATCTGTGGCTGTATTTTGGGCACAAGCCTGATACCCTATTTTCTCTTTCGTTGGGACTCTGTCTGACATGGTGCCCTTCCTGAACATGTCTAAAACAACCACTAGAAGGCTTTGTGCATTTCTTTCTCCCTTTGCCTTCCTTTTTCTGTAGGAATAACATATTATTAAATGAAGTTCCTGTAAGGCAGCCACCATCACTAATCCCTGAGTGTAAGCTAAGTCCACTTGCCCACATCTGTCCTCCTCCTGTCAGGCTTTAGCTTGGCCTGGCATGCAGTACCAGCATTCTGTTAAGCTATCTGTTTCACAATCAAAGTTCTAACATCTGTGTCTCTAACCTTTTTGTACAATGTCTACACAGGCTTAGAAACCAATTCTGAACTAACTCCCTAGTCCTTGCCTGCTCTCTATAACAAACCTCCTCCTCCTGACCTGCAGGCCTTGGTTACCCACTTTCAATTTCCTTGGGGTGAGGCTTCTAAAGCAATATTCCCTATTAGACTCTGTGTAAAAATTACCATTGGTCCATACTGGACATAAGCCAATTTTAGTTCCTTGAGCTGTTTGAATTTTACCATTGAGTATTTGCCTCTGTGTATTTCCAGTTAAAATGGAGGAAGGAGGTGAAGAATTCTGCATCTTAGTACTTATTAACTATCTCTTCCTGCTCATCCCAATCACTTGTCCTGTATTTTCTTTAGCATCCAGCTGCTCCTTAGTAGGTGAAGAGTTTTTTGTTCTCCATTGCATTCTTAACCTCTCCCAAGGGCGTTGGTGAATGCAAGGCCAAACTTTGTCTTCGCAAGTCCCTGCCCAACTCAAAACACTGCGTCACAGCAGTGGTGGCTTTTGCAAGCAGGAATGGTCCTTTTAAAACTCTTAAAATTCTAAAATCTCCTGTACTTGCTTTCACTTTGTTTTAGGTCTCCTGGCTATTAAACTGTATCCAAGTAAATAAAAATACAATCATCTGACTAACAATTACCTGCCTGATTTCTCTAACTATATACATTTTACTTTCAAGGATTACTTACTTCTCTTTACCATCTGGCTAATATTCCTGTTTCATATTTGCAATTAACTGGATTTTTCATTCCGGAGTTTAACACACTACATTTTACCATTTTATCATCTGACTGATATTTCAGTCTCACATCTACTTTGTTCACCTTCTCTTATTTAAAGGTTAAATAACCCACATTTCCTATTTTTGTCAGCTGCCGGGTAATGTTTTCCTATTTGTGCACATTCTATTTCTTTAAGGGTTAAATAAACCACTTTATCTTTTTTCGTCAGCTGCCAGCTGACATCTTCCTATTTTATACCACAAATATCTCTTTCCTATTTTTACAATTATATATAGTTTTGTTCCTTACTTAACGCTGTTCACTCACTACATGTGACTACTTCTTTCTTCTTTTTTCTGTGCGTGCTTCTTCTCCGACTGGTTTGACCCTGATGACTATCTCTTCGAATTATCCATGCCTCTGCCTTGCCCATTGCTTCCTTTGTGTCCTTTTCTTTGTGGTGTCCATGGCTTCTTCCACCATTCTCAGGCCCCACGCTCAGGCGCCATTTTGTTGTGGACCTGGCCATCTCAGCCCTAAGCCACTGCTGCTATGAGGTTCTGCCTGAGTGGAGGAGCATGGGCTGGGAACCTCCTAGCAACCCAGTGGCGATAAAGACCAAACGCAGGCATCTTGTCATCCTTAGAGAGCTCTCAGTTTCATGCTGTAAAACTAGAGTCTCTTGTTCATTTAGCATGTTCTTGGCTGTTTCTTAAGCATGCTTCTATGGCTGCGAGGAGGCCATTTTTGTCCTTCTGTTGACTCCTCTCTGCTAGCTGGCCCTCACTTTCTCTCCTCACTTGTTACTTACACACCTAGCCCCTCTGCCCAAATGCAGGCCTATTCAAATGCTTTGTTCTGTAGAGATGCAAACTAGGAGACATTCTTACACTAAGGCTATGCTGAACAATAGCAGACTTGCTCAAAATTACTACTAGAAAAATGGGCTGGAGCTCCGGGGTGCTCCTGTTTAGTGAACCTGGAGGCTGGACCTCAAGACATTCTATAACATAACTATTTTGGTCCCCCACACTCTCTGACCACAGGTAGAATAATTGGTAGCACATGGGCAGCTAATACTTTAAGATAATATTTGACTGAATAAATACGAAGAAATGGCAAGGAGGGAGAAATCCATCAACTCATCAAAGAATTCATGAGACATCCCAAAATCATTCTTGCATATTATAATGTAGGATGCCATATCTAGTATTAGAGCTATCAAATATAAATCAAATTATAACAAGTTCAAAGATCAAACAATATGATCACTTGGACAAACTACATACCAACAAAAAATAAGAAGAATTTGAGAACAGGTAAGACTCAAAATGTAGAGATAAGTAATCTTTTCAGACATTTGAAATGAAAAATTGTCCTGTGGAGACCCTCAAGCTTGTCCACATGAATCAAGGACATTGTTAACACTATTGGTTTCATACACTGAGGTTTATATAGAAAGAATATATAATGTCTCCTTCCACAGAGGGGGTAGTCTTTCTAGAGATCTCACCAAAAATTTCAAAATGGATCAAGTTGCCTCTGTAGGCTCATGGCATAGGAAATGGAACCTTGTTCTTGGGTTATAAAATGTATTCCCCAAACAAATCTACTAGGAATCTAGAGAAAAGTATCACTGTTGGTGATTTTACATTGGAATAAATGCAAGCATGGGTATCACTTTTGTTATCTATATTTGCTTTTACCTAGTCTGCCTGTTTACCAAGGCATATGTCACTGTACAAACATTGTGAAATTCTTTGAACCCCTATAATGGTTCCAAGAAGCCACATGACGGTGTAATACAGTATTACCATTAGATAGTTTACTCTCCCAAAAGATATTTTACTCTCCATTGTATATGCTTAGATACCAGCATGTATTGAGGGGAGTTTTCTGTCATTGAAACCTATGGTGGTTAAAAAACTATGGACCAAAGTGAAGAGTGCAGATTCCAGGGCAGGTGTGACAAAATCCAAAATAGTTTCACAAGAGAAAGCAAAAACACAGTCGCCCAGTTTCTTTGGTGGACAGATTTGGGAGTAAATCAAATTATAACAAGCAAGGATTCTAATGAGATAATACACAAGGGAGGAGCTTCTCTGTGTCCCCTTCATACATTCTCCATAGAGTCACATCTAGAGTCCCTTGATGTTTCTGGCCTCTCTATAATCACTCCTACCTGGGATCTCCAATGGTCTGGAATTTTGTGGCCTATACTTGAACTTGAGGCCACATATTACTGGTGTGAAAAGTTAGTTTTGTAAAGCCTGGTTGGAGGCAGACTGAGCCATCCAACATCTGCCACCACTCCTATCTTGGACTTGCACCAACTGGAAGAGGTGACTGGCCTTTTCCTACCTAACTTTTCCTGTCTAAGTCACCTGTCTGCAAACCCCAGTCATATCTAACCAAGGAGTCACACAGAGAGCCATCTAGTATTTGCCACTATTGGAGCCTTGGACCAAACTGCACCCACCAAGATAGAGCTTTAGACCTATAACCTCCAAGAGAGGGAGAGAACCCATCTGTAACTGCTGGAATAAGTGATGGGAAGATGACAGTATAAGCACATGTTCAACCATAGAAAGACTATATTGACACCACCTGAGTCTTGGGAATCTACACCAGCAATTATCTGTCTTGTAGTCCTGTCCAGTGGTGATAGTGGGTTGTTCGAGTCTCCCACTATAAGTGTTTGAGGTTT